ACCACCAACCTCCAAGTAATGCCAGGAGAGCTTTTCTTCTGCACTCCAGCTGAGACTATTATGGTTCAGTATCAAGCACATTTTGAAATTGGTGGGCAAATGATAACAAAACTAATTAAAAATTTTGATGGCTTTCATGTGAATGTTCCAGATAAACAACTGTCAAAAAGCTACACTCTAAGAAATGATTTTAGGACACATGAAGTAATTCCAGCTTCCCAGGAGGCTGAGGCAGGAGGAAAGCAAGATTCAGAGGAGACTTGAGAATTTGTCAAGCCTATTTAAAAATAAAACAAAAATTACTGTGCAGGTACTTAGTGGTAGAGTGCCCCTGTTTCAATGCTCAGTTGGGGGGAGGTAAACTTTTATGCCTCAGGTTTATTTTATCTGTGGAAAGAGAGCATACTGGGGATTGAGCTCAGGGGTATTCAACCACAGAGCTTCATCCCCATCTCTATGTTGTATTTTCTTTAGAGACAGGGTCTCACTGAGTTACTTAGTGCCTCACTTTTGCTGAGGCTGACTTTGAACTCTCAGTCTTTCTGTCTCAGCCTCCCTGGCATCAGGCTGGTTTTAACAAGGTCTCTGATTACCTGGGGAAAAAAAACTAACTCATCTCTGATAAAAGTTGAAGTACTATTTCCTATGACATAACTTTCTGTATTAGCTTTCAAAATCTTTCATCACTCAGGCTAAAAGACTTATCTTTTATAATGATCTAATGGCCCCTACTTTCATTAAGTGCTTTAAAACTTTTGAGATTGTTGACTAACTTCTCTAGGATCAAATTCTATATTTTCCCTTGACTTTGAGCAAACATTGAGATGTTCCACAAGGCTCCAGAATTTCTCAAGGGATTTCTAGAGAGAATACATTAAGCCAATTATCCTAATTTAATATAATGGGAAGCCTGACAAATATGACATAACTTTTTTCAAGTTAAATTAATTTTGATGTTTTATTAACATTGGATTCAAAATTATACTAAATTCATAAAAAATCTAGTATGTTTTCAGACATAATTCTGGGCACTATATTAAAAGGTATGCCAATGAATTCACCTTGTTAATAGCTGGTAAGAGTAAATTTCAATCTGATTTTTAACCATAGATAGTCTCAGTGTTTAGCAGCACATGTTACCAATTGGATTTTTTCCATAAAAGTAATTATAATCAGTTTTATAAAAAAAAGAATGAAAGGAAAGAAAAAATAAACTCTAATTTGTGTACTTAAACCTAGAACACAGATTTCTGATTTGTTTGTTTGTTTATTTATTTATCAATATATCTGCTTATTTTTTGGTGCAAACTATCAAACCCAGGTCCTTCTGCATGCTAGGCTAATGCTCAACCTTTTCAAAATTTTAATTCAAAACAGGATGTGGTGGTGTATACTTGTAAGCCTATCTACTTAGAAAGCTAAGACAGGAGGATCTCGAAGTTGAGACCATTCTCAGCTATTTAGTGAGAACTTCTCTCTCTCTCTCTCTCTCT